ATAAAGTGGCCTGCTGAGCTGCTGTATTAGTAACCAGCTTGAGCTGCCTTACCTGACTCCTCTCTGTGGTTTAAAGGGGACTGAGGCCATCTCAGGTAGAGGGCAGTGAGAGCTGATCCCCCTCTCGCTGAAAGAAACACAGAGCCCCAGCAGCCTAAGCTGACAGCACACCCACAGCCCTGCAACCAAAATGACCTTTTGCTGCAGCTTGCAGTGATTTCAGCACCATGTTTATATCTGCCAAATTCAGGAGGTGACATGGTGACAACTAAAGATTAGAGCGGCCTTCTGTGTTTCCAAGAAAACAAATTGGAGAAATATGATACAATAAGCAAAGGACATTTCTTCTGCCTTCTGCCTGTTTCCAGAAAATGTGCTGATTGATTAAAAAAAAAAATGATTGATGCTTATTATCATTGCAAATCTGAGGGTGAGAAGCGTACACTAGAATATCCCAAGGGAATTGTGAAAGCCTCAGCAAACTGGCAGAGAACAAAAAGCCAATTCCATAGTCTCTCTGGATGAAGTTGCATCAGTGATTTTTTCTACCACAAAAGTTCTGGCAAGGGATTTCCTTTGTATATGAACAAAACGTTTTTGGTGTTGGCATTACCTGTATCATTTCTTGCTGTGACGTTGCATCTTTTTGGCTCATGGGGACTTCTGAAGTCCTGTGAGTAATTAGGAGGTTAAACCAAAGAGCAAGATTACATTTAGATGTTTGCTGTTCTCTCCAGAAAATGTACCCATTCTACCCCCCTCCTGAGCCAGCAGATTTTCCATGTGACCAGCAGTGGTTGTGAGGCTGATGAATCCCACAAGGTTGTACTGCTGGTATCATAAGGACATCCTGATAGGCCCTGTGGGGAAAGCAAGGTTTGAAAATCAAAGTCCTGACTATCTTCTGGGACCATGAGAATCCTCACTTCTATATGTACTGTCGCACAGTGGCCAGAATAGTCTTTTGGCCTTTATTTTTCAAATTTGAATACTTTCTGTAGTGTTTGCCTGCAGAAACTCACCTAAGTTTGGTTTGTTTTCATTCATACAGAAGATACATGCTTCAGGGAAACCAGAACTGCTTTGCATCTTGGCTTACAGGTAATTGATACTAATTTGGGAGATCAGCAGTTGGCATGAGAGGTTGCATTTAGCCCTGGAAGTTTTGCTGTTTCCTCAGGAGTGGGTGGAGCATTGAACAGGAGGATTGCTAACAGGCACAGAGGAAACTTCACTGATGAGGCTTGACTAGTAATCCTTAAAGACAGCAATGCACACCCCTCCCCAGTGTCTGACATGACAGTAGGTACAAGCTCCTATCTGTTAATAAATGTGAGACAGGGCTCCTGATCCTGCAGCACAACTGCTTTGCTGATTGTGGCCCACCATGTCCTCTGCTGCACAGAATGGTGCACAGACTCATTCTGCTTCTGTGATTAGGTATCCCTTAGGTACCCCAAAATAAGACACTAAGTAAAGACAGTTCTTTGAGATGGAGGGCATGACATATTCTTGGGGAAATAAATAGAACAGCCTGAGCACTTAACAGGACAACGGAGTTAGAATTACCAGCCCCAGAAGAGAATTCAAACTTAAATGGGCATTTCTATCTGGAAAAACAAACCCACAAAACCAGGTTTCTCAATGCATCTGTGCTTGTCCAGCAAACAAGCTGCCATATTTTTCCATTAAAAACGTGTGAGAAAACGCTGCCCATTCTGGCACAAGGCTTTGTTGAAGAACACTTGTGCTCTGCCCTCTGCACTTTATTACAGAGCATGTTTATTCGCACTGGTGTTTGGGCTTCCATTAGCTTTAATTATATATGGAAAAGTCTAATTCTGCTGCATATACCTCTGTGTGGACTAATTAGGTGAGTGATTGTGATAAGCCACTGGAGAGATTGCATCCATTATTAAGAATTTCATTTTAGAAATGGACCAATTATTCAAAATACCTCTCAGGACCTTCCCTGAACATTTGTTCATGAGCCAAACAGTGGTTTGCCACAACTAGTAACAGTTTTTCCAATTAGCTGAATGAAGAAGGAAAAGCTTCCTTACCTGCACAAAGCCAGCAGGAAGCTGACTCATGGCAGTAGTAGAGGTGAATACAAAACACCATTTTGCATCTCACAGAATCTCTGTCCCATTGCAAACTTCTCTTGACTTTCCCAACTTTGGTACAGAGCCACAATCCAGCAGGAGCTGCGCTGTGCCCCCAGGAGACTTTTCCCGCTCATTTGTGAATTCTTCCTTCCTCTTTTGAAATGTGATAAAGCACTGGTTTCTCTTAAAATCATTTCTCCCACCACGGTCTCGGTTCCCTCTGTAGAGTTTTGCAAGAAATCAGCTTTTTCAGTGTTAGCCTGTCCAGCAGAATTCTTGCTCCCCAAACAAAGACCTGGGCTAGGGCTTGGACCTGCCACAAAAGAAATTCCAGTAGCTATTTGTAAGCCACATAGGTGTGCCTTGTGCAGGCTGCAATCGAGATCCGTGTGATAAGTGGAAACCTTTTAATTAAGTGGCATAATCTCTCCCACCAGATAAAGAAGAGCTCAGATAACTTCTCCAGCAGGAGGAATGCACGTGACCCTGACGCATGATCTGGTCTCATCAAGATATCCCAAGTGCTACACAGCTACAGTGTCAACACGTTGCCCAGGACAACAGGTACAGCAGGAGCTATTGGATAGAATATCTCCACCCCTGATGCCAGAAATGTTTGAGCTGCAGATTGTGGCCAAGTGGGAAATTACATCAGCTAATCCTATCACCAAATCTTTACCTCATGGCCCACATTTGCCAACCTAACAGGTGAGAACGAGCCTCATGTACCTGAGGATGCTTTAATGTCCCCATTACTGTGTTCATGTGCTCACAGTGACAGCACTGATGTTCACAAAGATGCTGAACTGCAGTACCTAGATGCTGAGAAGTTTCTTGTACTGGTCAGTATTCTTGCAGCAGTGTCTCCTGTCCTGCCCTAGTCACTTACAGCCCTGGGTTATTGCCAAGTTTATCCAGGATAATTAGGTATTATGTACTGTTCTCCGTTCTGCACTGTTGCGAGGCTGCTCTCAGTTACCTAGGAAAATTCCATCTACCAGTTTGTTGTTTTTTTTTTTTTTTGATAGAGGAACAACAGGTTGCAGCACATTAGCAACAAGCTCTGAGCCATCTCCCAGAGAAAATGTCACAGCCCTCAGGAGACTGTCTGGCTGGGAAAAAAAAATAATCAGGACATAAATATCAGGAAAGCCCAAAACTCCTATACCACCTGGGGAAATGAAATCTTGGCATGCAGTGGCCCCCAAACCCACAGGCTGTATCCCAGCCTTGCTGCATGGTGCCTGACAAGGGCTCCTGGGAGGCACTGGCCTTGCGCAAGGCGACATCACTCATGACAGCAAAGCCGCTGCAGCCGTCACTGCTTACGCAGGGGCCAGGGGCCATCAGAGCCCTCACAGGAACTCCAATGCCTCCAGGCAGCCTCCTCCCTTCAAGTGGAGCAAGGGGCTAAGCCTGGCTCAGGCTTTTAAGGGGAAAAGAAAAAGAAGAATTGATTCTATTAAAAGAAGCAGCAAAAAAGAAACCACACTTCTTTATTAAAACTGATTGATTTCTGAGAAACCATGGGATGGTCAGTACATCCAGTAACAGCATTGAGTCTGCTGGCAGCTTGCTCTTCCACAAAATGACTTATCAGGGTTTATGCAAGCTGAGAGGATTTACTTGGCCTACAAAACACTCCTGAAATATTAGTGTTCAACCCTTTGCCAAAGAGAGCAGAAAACACTTTCATTTTCTGCTTTGATTTGGAGTGCTAGATTTTTATTTTTTTTTTTTTTTGCTGGTACAGACATGGAGAAATTTTGTTGTAAAGTGGCTACAAGAGCAGCTCTTGTGGGTTGGCCATTTTGGGGAGGTGAATGCGAAGTCACTAATTCTGAGACTTGCATGCCTAGGGAGCCCCAGCAGTGGTGGTACCCAGCTTGACACTGCACAAGCTTTGCATTGCCTTCTGAGGCTTCTCCCTCCCCCAGGACCCTCTTTTACCCCCATTTTGAGTCTCATTTCTTGCTCCCTTGGTGCCATGATGGCAGCAGAGGACATGAGACAGTTTTTCCTTCTGCAGTTTTGTCTCAGTGGCTTTATAGCCAACTTCAAAAGGTTTGAAAGAAAAAGCAAAATCACTCTTTTTGATTTTGTTTTTTAAATCTTTGCTGCTCAAAGCAGTCCTTATTCATCACTAAAAATATCTGCATGCTCACATCTGCATAGCAAACGGTACACCTCCTTCAGCATGTTTCAGCAAGATGGCTTACAAAGTCAGAGAACTAGTGGTAGAAGTGTAGTTTGTACATCAGAGAGATAGGGAAACAAAACCAACTTGTGCAAGGTAGTACCTTTACTCTTGAACTGCCACCTTTGAAAGGAATTCCTGGTACTCATCATGCTGATACACATCTCAGTGCAAACGAGGCACTTCTGAGTAACACCTAAAACTCACCAGGAAGTGATTCTGTAAATCACACTGATCACAATGAATGTAATTCCTAGCATGGGGCTTTCTTACACACCCATCGACTCAAAAAGTAGAGCTGCCCAACAGGCACAGGGCTCTGTGCATTATTGTGACTTGTAGGTAGAGAAGGTAGGTCTATAAATATCTAAGGTGTGGGAGGCAGAATGGCGAGGCCAGACTGTTTTCAGTGGTGAGTGGAGACAGGACAAGGGGAAACGGCCGGAAACTGCAGCATAGGAAGTTCCGCACAAACATGTGCAAGAACTTCTTTACAGTGAGGTGACGGAGCACTGGAACAGGCTGCCCAGGGAGGTGGTGGAGTCTCCTTCTCTGGAGATGTTCAAGACCTGCCTGGATGCCTACCTGTGCGACCTGCTGTAGGGAACCTGCTTTGGCAGGGGGGTTGGACTCGATGATCTCTGGAGGTCCATTCCAACCCCTACAATTCTGTGATTCTGTGATTCTGTGAACTTATCAGGTGCAGAGGAGCAGGCACCATCCTAATCTGAAATTGCTCATTTGCTTGAAAAGTTAAGCAATCTCTAACTATAGAAGGGCTATTCACGCTAATTACACTGCTGTTATAGAAATAATTAAGCAGCAATTCATTGCAGGTGCAGTATCGTTGTAGGAATAACATTACTAACAGGGGCAGAGCAGAGGTGCAGTAGGAGAAATGTGCCATTAGGTGTGCCATTGGTGAAGGCGCTGAAAAGACCTCAGCAGGCTGATGGGCTACAGAAAGCCACTGTGGCCAGATTTCCATGATAGGAGTATTCAAGCCCTCTGCTGGGCACACTGGGGAATACTGGCCTGATGCTTGGCCACAAGCAAGCAGCTGGGGAAAGCAAGCAAACTTGCACCAACCCCAGGTGGTTGCTAGAGGCAGGTAAGCTGCTGGGAACTGGGTGTTTGGGAGTGGTACTAAACAAAAAACGATGTGAGATTTAAGTTTTTCATGGTTGTAGTTTAACTGAAGCTCAGGCTCCTGAAAAGAAGCAGCATAAGCATCAGTTAGTTAACCCAATAAAAGGAAAGGTATTTTTTTCTTAAGGAAGAAATTCTTTACTGTGAGAGTGGTGAGACACACTGGAACAGGTTGCCCAATGAGGCTCTGAATGCCACCTTGCTGGAAGCATTCAAGGCCAGGCTGGATGGGGCTTTGAGCAACCTGGTCTAGAGCGAGGTGTCCCTGCCTATAGCGGGGGATTGGAACTAAGTGAGCTTAAAGGTCCCTTCCAACCCAAACCATTCTATGATTCTTAAAAATGGGGGCAGTGGGGGAACCATTTATTAATTTCCCTGCTAGGCACATAAGATGTGGGGAAAATAAGCTTTCTCAGTTTGCACATTAGTCATCAGAAGTGTTGGTGGCACTTTTCCCACCACTCTAGTTGAAGGCTCATCCCTTCGTACACTGCTGCTTTAGTAGATTAAAATGTAGTCATCAATGCCAGCTTGTACATAAACCTTAATAGTCAGAGATCAGGCTAAGAACTATCATTGCTGTTTTTTGTTAAATCAATTTAAAATATTAGATCCATAAAAGCTTTAAGAAAGGGCTATGGTGGTTTTATCTGCTGCCTGTATTGCTAACTCTGAGAACCACTGGGCTTTTTGCTTTGCTAATGACTAATTTTTCTAGCATTTAAGGCTGGAATTTGCTCTTCAGACCAACCGCATCCTTGCTGTAGTGCCACCGACTTCAAGTGAAAAAAACAGCAACTAACTGGCCTCACAATTCCTTCTAATTTTTATTCTTTTTATGTATTGTGTACAGTGCTTGTCTAAAAGGAGCAGCAATTATTTTGCTTTCTACAGTTTGTCTACAAAATCTGTACAAAGAAGGGTTCATCAGCAATTTCTGGCAGGCTGGCGAGAGGTGGAGTTTATGGAAGAGGAGATCAGCTCAAAGCCACCCAGCTCCCACCCCGGGAGTTCAGCAGGAGCAAGTAAATCATTTCCCCAGGCAATAATTCCATAGCCTGCATGGGAAGCAGCTGACTGTGCCAGAGTCCTGAAGTGCCTGGACTGAGGTATGTTCACAAAGTGCTTTAGTGACAGAAGAACTCTGGACAATGCACATCTTTTGGTCCCAGTTTGTTAAAAGAACTTGGTTGCTGTCTGAACCAAGGCTGCCAGATAAGTTACAGCAGCAGCAAAGAGAAAAAGACTTGTAGCTTGTTTAAGCATTATCACTGTGTAAACGAGGTGTTCCTTACTGATCAAGTAGGTTAAAACACGCATGTATTTGTGTTCTAAGGGCAACACCTCTTTTTGTGGCAGAAATAGATTACTTTTCTATTGGAGTCAATGCTGCTTTCCAGTTTCAAGCCACTGGGACGGCTGCTTAATTCAGATGTCTCTTCACACAGGGAAGGGACCAAATTGGATGTTTCTCATGGCCCAGCAGTATGCGAGCAGTGCGCTCTAAGCTGCTTTAGCTCAAAGCGATTATGTAAGTTAACCTGTGCAAGCTGTTTTCTATAAAAGGAACAAGTGGTATTTTTAGCAGGCTTTATGGAGTTGCTTGGCAAGGGGAAGAAACAGGAGATGCCTCAGCACCTGATCCAGCCCCTGTCACCACCACAGTGACTACGATCACTGGGTTTGGATGTGAGAGGGTGCATCCATGTTACTGGACCCGTTCTTAATAATCTTTCCTAATGCCAGTTTTTATTCAGCTTCCTGTGCCATTGAGCATTTTCTGCATCCCTAACTGGCCTTCAGCAGGGTCAGAGGGGCTCCCTGTGCTCTGTTAGAGAGATCCTGGGGAGATCCTACCTCCCTCAGCACCTTGCTGACCATGGTTTGCTCTTACCTCTTAGTAAGGAAGGACACCTACCCCACATGCACAAAAAAACAAAACAAAACAAAACAAAAAAAAAACAAGGGGGAAAAAAACCAACTTGTATTAGGCTGGGATTTGTAGCTGTCTTCCTTTTTGTTACTACCTAGTGTGCATTTACCTATTTTTCCCCATTTTCATAACAGGAACATGCTGACTCCTGCAGAGAATGGTTGTCTGGGTAAGTGCAAATTTAAAAAAGCTAAGGCTCTATGAAGTATGTGTGAAGGGTGTGTGAAATTGATAGCTGCCCTGGTTTGCTAATTCTCATCCCCTACCAGCAGTCTCTTCTAAGAAGTGAGGCTGCTCCCAGGAGAAGACAAAAATCTCAGTTTTAGATGGAGATGGGTCTGTTCAACTGTCATTTCTGAACAAAGTTATATTTTGTTCCCCAAAAAGCTTCAGTAAATTATTTCAAGGGAGTACATCTGTCGTTAACTCACTCTTATAGAGCCACATATCCCAAATCTCTTTGTGTTTCTAAAGGCTGGCCCCGTATTTCTCTACATGAACTGGTGGGGCATTTTGAATATTCAGCCGGAGACCTGCCAGACATTTGGCCTTAGCAATGGTAGCAATGACAGCGGTGATCTAGGAATCTTCATTCAGTCAAACCAAACGGAATACATAAAATTAAAACCAAAAAACGTACGACTCTCCAGTAAATGCATAAAGTTACTTTATTTTCAGTATACATTTAATTTTGAAAAATATAAATGCTAAAATATCTCATCATCTTCATCTTTTGATTCCATAAAAGTCACAATAGAAAGCTTCATAAAACTGTAAAATACTATGTTATAAGGAATTTCATGTTTCATATTAGTGGAAAAAAATTTAATATATTGAAATGTTTTCTGCTTTTTTCGTTTTTGTTCCACCATCTTGATCCACTTCATTTTACATTAATTCTTTATTCTTTCCTCCAAAGCAAATACAGACTTAAGAGAATTAAAACTAATAAAAGTATCTGAAAGTGCGTATTGATTCCAAGGGAAAAAAAAAAAAGTAATGCATACAAATATATGTCAACCTTGACAACAAATAATTAGTGGCTACAGAGGCAGGCAGTCACCATTTTCATGGGCCTGGGACAAAGCTATCTGCAGTTCTTTTGTTTTCACTGGGTGATGGCAGGATTTGTGCCCTCAGTTGGTACCTGTTTTTGTAGGACTTCTAAGATAAACTGTTTGGGGGAGTTTTTTGGTTTTTTTTTTTGTTTTTAATGGACTCTTCTGATTTCAGAAGAGCCTTCCCAGAAGCCAGAAGTGCTTATCCAGGCTTTTCTCACCAACTGTCCAGTTCTGAACCAAAATTAGTTTTAGTTTTATTGTTACAAGGCCTACAAAGTGCAGTGAAACTCACCTTGTGGTGACATCAGCCTATCAAATGCTATTAGGCAGCTGCTTTTCACTGCCTTCCACCTCTTGGTGCCAGCAGAGCTCTTGCTTGCTGTCCTTGTGGTTGTTTAATTTTTTTTAAAGAAAAAAAATAGAAAGGACACACAGCCTTCAACAAAATGCTGTTGTCAGGAAGCAGGAAATAAAAATTTTCCAGCTTCTGTCTCCATCCAGAGTTGTTTTTGACATGGAAAACTACAGCAATCTTTGTCCCATCCCTTAAACAATGCTACCCTCTGTACAACAGCTCGTCTGTTAACGTACAAAATAAAAAAGAGAGAGAAAGATCTAGATCAGCAGTCAATACATTTCAAGTACATTTAACATGGTAAAAAGTGGAAGACCTCATTTTTGTGAAGACAAATCACCAGGTAATAGCAGATGAAAGGATGTATGATGTGTGTGTGTGCGTATATGCATGTGTGCAGTATGCTGCATTCTGAGCATACTGTAGCTGGGGGGAGGGTTCTTTTTTCAGTGCTCTTTTAAGGAAATCTTTTTCTCTATATTAATCTATGCTGATCTTTCCTTATTTGGATTTCTACAAATAAAGTGTCTGGGCAAAACATAAAAGCTCACATGTACTGTGTACATGATGACACTTGAGCCTGTTTCCCCTTTGGTAGTCTGCGACTGACTTTCACCAAGGAATTAAAACAGTTTTCTACATTGCACTTCCCAGGTTCTCCGTCCTCCAACTAGTCCTAGCAGGCAGCAGAAGGGATCACACAGTGGCTGCTTTTCTGGCTGCTTCAGATAGCTCCTCACCCTTTTTGAAGCAGGTTTGGGCTGCATTTATGGGTTGCTGACATCTCAGGGGCAGCAAAGAGGAACAGCTGCTCTCCCTTCTTCTTGCGCTGCTTTCTCACAGTAAACAAAAATGGTTGGAAAGCAGAATTTTAGATTCCTTGGTAACAAGCTGGGGAATGTACGTGTGTGTGCATGTGTGTGTGCTGTGCCAATTCCTCTGCAACTCAATCCTATTTGTGCAGCAACGAGCACTTGCACAAGACTGTGCAAATAGTACAAAAATAATATAAAAACAATAATATTATTACAGTGCATATAATTGCATCTTTTAACCAGAACTAGTATCTGGGAAAAAAAGAGTCCTAGTTTGCAGCTCTGATTGTTGTTGTGGTTGTTACTAGCTTGTGGATGCTAAAATTTGGCATATAAAGTCTCTCAGCACCATGATGAAATGCTGTTTCCTTAATCAACATGGACTTTGGTTTCTTCACAACAGGTGTGGAAGCCACTAAGCTCTACTTTTTTATTCATTAGGAAAAAAAAATGAAACAAAGCCATGTGTTAGGCATTACAAAATAGTTTCTGCAAGTGCGTTTTTTAATGCCCAGCACTGGGGGCTGTTAGGGACTGTCCCCCCTCTGCTGCTGCTGCTGGGCAGCCACTCTCACTGCTGCTTCCCTGGTATGCTTCACTGCAGGGAGCTTCATTTTTACAACGAAGCGTTTGCAGTGTGTCATATGAAATCCTCGCACTTGAAATAAATGTGCTGGGGAAGGCCAGTTTCCCAAATGCTATTTTATATGTGCATACTCAAGTTCACTGTATACCCACAGCAGAAAAAAATGATCTGTCACAAGGCGATGCTTGCTGGGTTTAAAACCAAAAACCTGTCACTGTGTCACTGTGCCTAGCTGATTTGCTACCGATATGTCATTGTGTATGGAAGGTTTTGGTTTACTGGGCAGAGGGCCGAGCAGTCAAGGTGTAAGAATAAATTCTGTACGTGACAGAAAGCAGTGCCTGGGCTCTGTCAGTTCTCGAGGAGGATCTAGAACATGCATCTCAACCTCATGCAGGGTGTTTCCACTTGCACACATACACACACGTGCACACACAGATGTTTCACATGAAAGAATTCTAACAATACTGCATAGGAAATCAACAAAATGAATACAATCAGCATCGTCCACTGACACTGTTAACCAGTCAGTATTTCACTTACCAGCAGTACACTTAAGACTCATCCTAGATCATGAGAGATTTAAGTTATATCCCATCTCCTTCATAGTGAAGTTAGATTATTCATAAAAAAACAAAATAACCCTAAGTAGAACAGAAGCTTCAGAGTAGAAGGTGTTGATAAAACTGATCCAGCCCTATGCCATGTCCTGGAGATTGTGTATTTTTTTTTCTTTTTTGTAAAAATCACATTATATATGGTACAATACATTTTTACAGAAAGCCTGGCATCTAGAAATAAGAGGTAGAACTACTCAAAACTATATGTTTCCTGCTGCAGGAAAAATTCATTTTTCTTTACAGTAATTAAAAAAAGGTTAAAAAAATTGACAAAAAAAAAGTCATAGGTTAGGCCCCCATAATTTAAACAAAATAATCTAGGAAAATAACACTCTTCAATGTACCTGACAGATTAAGTCCATTAAAGTGTTTTTTTAAAAAAAATTGCATAGGAAAGGGACATTTCAAAACACATGCTACAACGATGGCAATAATTTGTCTGTGCTGGGAGTGAAGTACCTTTTAGTTTTCTTTCCTGTGTTACTACGAGTACAGGCTTTAAGAGCAAGTTAGTATTAGCAGCACTTTCCAGCATCTTAGAGCAGTGTAATAAAGACATTGAATTAGCCTGGAGGTCAGTTTTGTTCTGCCAGACAACAAACAAACAAACAAACACTGATTCACAACTAAAATAATGCCAGTTCCCCTGACATTTCACAAAAGTATTATATTATATCCTTAATACTTCTGCCCTCTGCTTGAAAATGAGATGTGTGCATGTCTAAGCAACAGAGAAGGCAAAAATGAGTCTTGGTCAAAGTGGAAAAATTGGGTGAGGATAAATAAGAAAAATTCTGGAGGGGGAAAAGGGTGGAGCGGGGAGCACAGAATGTCTCATTTACTTACGCAGGTGGGGAGCAGAGAGCATTGTAATATTTGGCTAGTGACAAAATAAATTCCATATAAGACTTAACAGACAAATTACAAAGTAGTTTCTGTTCCCTTGCTCCTCCAGAAATAACCATTGTCTTCAGGCTCAAGTTCTATTCTAATTTGAGGCACAACTTTTACTGGAGTTCGTGGAGGGCTGCGAAGAAAAAGAAGACAAGGTAGGTAAGTGTATGGACTAACGTCATGTATTTCAGTAATGCTTGATGCGCTCTGCAGCGCTCAGCTGAATTCTGAAGAGTGCATTTTCTGAGGGATCAGTTCCTGAAAAACTGTGCAACTCCAAGATGAAAAGATATAAACAAAACAGAGTGGCAGCTGGTTCACACCTCAAAAACTGCAGATCCTAGTACTTACTGGGCACAGCATGCTGTCACATCTAGAAATGGAAAAAATGCTCAACTCCCAATACCAAGTGTATCAGCACAGACCAGTGCAACACAGCTTTCTGAAACTGGAGCTTACAGACACCAAATAAATAACTCAGATGGGAACTGGTAATAGAAAGCTCTCTTTGCTACCAGAACTTATTGATAGGCCTGTGCATCACGTAATATTATTTAAATGAATTGGTCCAAACACTGCTCATGTCAGGGACTAAGCCTACTGATTTTGTTAACAGAGGAGCTCCACATACCCAGAACTTGTGCTTCACACAACTAGCTGCCTGTTCATATATTTTTAAGTCATTTAATTTTTTCCCATGTGGACATGTTTTTCTAGACTTTTCCCAGTTGTTCCACAACTTTTTGCTGATTTGGACCCCAAGACCTACATGAGTACTGCGGCTGGGGTCTAACATAAGGCCAGCAGAGTACTTATGTAAGCTAGTCACTCTCTCCACACTATAAGGCCATGCTGGGAACATAACAACTGCACATTAGAAATTCTCTCCAAGTGTTTTCTAAGAGTTTCCTGTAGACAGACAGGGACTTCGCCATTGTGGTATTTCGGTGCACTGTGGCACATACAAATTGCATTTTACAAGTACTTACCTTGGCATAGTGTGTGACTGAAGAAAAGGAATTTTATCAGCACGACGTATGGCGTTCAAGGAATGTTGGTGATTTTTCTTCTGTCAGGGAGGAGAGAAAAGATCTTTTTTGTCATTGCATGCAGCACTGATGGTTTCTTAAACCCAGCAAACTCTCACATGTATTTAGCAGTGCTTTTAACTGCTGACTTCCTTCTATATTAATTTCACAGCTGGTAAATGAACATAATAAAGTTAAGTCTCTCCTCCAACATACAGAATCTGAACTGCCAAAACAATGGTGATTGATTTGCAGGGACTGCCCTGTGAGCTGCATTCAGCTGCATGCTGAATGCATGCGTATGCAGTTGTACAGCCAGGAGCAGTCACTTAGCTGCCACAGAAGAGGCTGCTGAGCTGCTCCAAGTAAACAGCCCATGGGAAAACTCACTTTGTATTCACCAGGCCTGCACTGCAGCATAGCAAAGGGTGTCCACTTCATGTATGCTTCCCGGGGGAAGCCACAAGACACTGACTGCAAAGCTGGTCTCAGCCCAGCGTGAGGCACGAGCGTTTATGTGTCTGTTTTGTGCTTAGAGTTGCCTGACAAAAAGGAGTTGGGAATCCCTCAATCAGGGCTTGAGCACACAAAGCCTAGATGGGAAATTCCCAAATTCCATCTCAGAAAAATTACTCTGTTTCTTGGCCTCTTTTCAGCACGTTTACATCTTGATACTTACCTTTCATCTACAACTTAAGTTACCCTGTGTTCCCCCACTGTAGCATCCAAACTCCTTGCATGAAAACAGGTGGCTTGTTGCCTGTAATCACATTCATTTCCTGACCAGCATGGTGAAATGTACTCGTTTTTAATAATAATTCTATTCTTGCTATTGCTGAAGGGAAGCTAAAGAGTAAAAAATGAATTTTGTGTTTGAACAGAGAAACAGCTGGAATTCACTTCTCTGCCTTAGTAATTGAAGGGTAAATAATTTGTCAAGCACTCTGAAGATGCAAAATATGCTCAAGTACTGAATGCTATTAGTATTATTATTAATATACTTTGAGTCTTGGAGCACTGGGTGAGTAGGGTAAGACCATGATGTGGATGGATTCCAGCTACTTTTGCTAATACAAGAGCCTGATTTCTTTTTTTTTTTTTTTTTGCCTTGTTACTAAATAAAAGCTGACAAATCAATTTCTGATTCATAATACTGCACACATACACAAACAAACAAACTGCTGCTTGGCCCATGGACGTCTTACCCCATGTTGTCTGAAAGGGCAATCCAACAAACAGGTTTGTGGCAGAAGTATTACCATTTCCCTAATTATTTCAACCCTGATGAACAGTGTACCCAATTGTAAGATCCTGTGCAACATGTAAGATGAACTTGGTTTAAGCATATCAGGGCATTTTCACAGAAAAGTGAAGATGGTCTGTTAGGTTCAAGGTTGTTACACTGAGAGTATGCAATTAGTAAAGTAGTTGTCTTTGGCTTTGTTTTAGAATGTTAATCTCTTAAGTGTTCATTTATCTAAAAACACAATGCAATGCTTAGGGTTGCCAAATGCCACCACCAAAAGCCAAGATAGTTAAAGACCACCTCCTAATCACAAATCCTACTTAAGGAATCTAAAGATCAGTGTTTCCAGGTCTTATTCCTAGAAATCTTATCACCAGTAATGCAGCAGTACTGATTTACTGTTATCATTTGTTCCCATCTTGTGACAAAACAGCATATTTATCTGAAGACTGAACTCACTGCTCATAATATTGTCAGAAGTCGCTGCAAAGGCAAAAAAGCTCATGTCAGTTGTTACTTCTTATTCCTCTCTTAAAAGACTATGAGAAGTTAAAGTGACTGAAAATTAAGGCGTAGTTGAGTTGGAGACCTGTAGCTAGCAGTGTTCCCCAAGCACCAGTACAGCATCTGGTATTGTTCAACATCTTCATCAATGATTTGGAAGAAGGGATACAGTCCACCCTCAGCAAGTTTGTTGATGATGCAATACTGGGAGGAGTGGCTGACAGATGAGACGTCTGTGATACCTTTCAGAGAGACCTGGGTGGGCTGGGGAGTTGGGAACCTGATGAGGGTTCAACAAAGGCAACAGTCCTATGCATGGAGAGGAATAACCATATGCACCAGTACAGGTTAGGGGCTGAACTGATGGAAAGGAGCTATGCAGAGGACACCCAAGGTGTCCTGGTGGATTACAGGTTGACCATGAACCAGGAGTGTGCCCTTGTGGCCAAGAAGGCCAGTGGGACCCTGGGGTGCATTAAACAGATCATGGCCAGCATGTCAACAGAGGTTCTCCTCCCCCTCTACTCTGCCTTGGTAAAGCCTCATCTGGAGTACTGTGTCCAGTTCTGGGCTCCCCAGTTCCAGAAAGACAGGGAACTCCTAGAGAGAGTCCAGTGGAGGGCCACAAAAATGACTGGGGGCCTGGAGCATCTCCCCTATGAGAAAGGGCTGAAAGACCTGGGATTTTCAGTCTGGAGGAGACTAAGAGGAAGATCTTATCAATGCTTAGAAATCTCTAAAGGGCAGGTGTCAAGAGAATGGGGCCAAGCTATTTTTGGTGGTGCCCAGTGACAAGACTAGGGGCAACAGACAAAAACCAGAATACAGGAATTTCCACTGAAACATGAGAAAGAAATTCTTTACTTTGAGTATGACATAGCACTGGAACAGGCTGCCCAGAGAGGCTGTGGTTCCTTCTTTGGAGATATTCAAAACCCTCCTGGAAGCTTTCTTGTACAACCTACTGTAAGGGAACATGCTATTGCAGGGAGTTTAGACTGGATGATCTCTAGCGGTCCCTTCCAACCCCCCTACCATTCCTTGATTCCAGGATATTAACCTAAGAAATAGAAAGACACAATAGCACAAAAGCAAGTCACCTAAGAAGGGAAATGTGTTAAAGGTCAAATGATCACTGCCTTGTCAGTGTAATGAATAATGTGAATCAATGACATGCTTAATTATTCTTTCAAAGTGCTGAGTTTTGCAACTGCTTGGAACCTAAGGAAATAAACAGTAACAGGACAGAAATGCAGTTCAGAATGCTGCAAATCCAGAGCAATAGACTCAGGAAAAATAAACGCAAGCCATCAGCAAATTTAACATAAAATGGCAAAGGTCAGAAATGGACTGAGTGGATGGGGGAGTTACAGAGAGGAGGAGAAAGGAAGTTATCATGAAACATAGCTGGACAAAAGCAGTTTAAGCTGGAGGCACCAAAAGAAATAACACAGATTTTGGAAAGAAAAAAGAATACATAAAAACAAAGCCAAATACTGTCATAAATCAGAGACCTGGAAATTAAAAACAAACAAAAACCCCACACTTCTGAAACAATAGAAAAGCTTTAAAAAAAATTAATTTATATATATATTTTGTACTGCACGTCAGAGTCACGCAGGCATGCAAGAGGTTAGTTCTACTCACTGTCGGCAGGTTTGCTATCACTTAGGAAAGGTTCCTGCTCCATGATGTCCATTGGTATTTTAATACTTGGGACTTTTTCTGAGTAGGGGCAGTCAGACTGTGAAAGAAACGTGTAAAAGTTCTTAGAAAATTTCCACTGCTCTCTTACTGTCACCCACAAATTAATATTATCCTTCACATAATTTCTGTAGAAATCAGGAGAAAAGTAAAAGAAAAAGAAGGAATTCTGTAGACCAGCTGATGGCCTCTTGATTTTAAACTGGATCCCTCTTGCACCTTACTTTCCCTCTTCACACTATGGAAGTAAAGCAGACTGAAAGAATAATCTTATCTAAGTAAGCGTTATCTTTTCCTCTCTCCACCTCACCAGTTCCTATGCTACTAGTTTATAAGACACAATCTGAGTCAGCTTGGGGTTGACTACAGGAAATAATGGATTAAACATGCATTTGTTGGCAGAAATGATAGGGCACTGGCTCCTGAGAAATCTCACCAAAAAGTTTCTATTCTTATTGTGATTCCTGTGAATTATAGCAGGACAATCTCTATATTTTTTTCTCCCTCCAAACTGTTCTACAAGGAAGTATCAGGCAGACAATCTTTAACTTCTGTTGTACAAAGAAAGAGTTTTCCTCTTTCTATTTGTTACTTAAATAAAGTCAGAGCTAGTCCCAATTATACCCCTGTTTACAATAAGATATTTCATCAAATCCAGAATTCATGTAATCACACCACACAGGAGATATGGCAGACTGTTCAAGAAGAATTACAAGCGCAGAGAAAAGCTGTACTTGTTAGCAAGCCTTACTCCAAGATAGCTTTCTGCTGAAGTCAGCGAGCTTTTGCTCAAATTATCAGCACTCTGTGACCACTGAGTCCCCACTGTGTCCCACTGGTTCCAATAATAACCCACTTGCTTGTGCTTAGAAGGTGCTGAATTACTTGGCTTTTAATTAATTAATTAATTTATTTATTTTTATAAAACAGTTTATTGTAACCAGAGAAGGGCTGATACTGTTTGACTTGGCAAAGAAATTAAGGTGATACACGCCAAGTGATATGTGCCAGAAACGTTAACCTAGCTTTATTCCTAGAGAGAACGAGACAAAGTATGAAGTATAACACTGCACTGGGGGGAATCTGACCTAAAAGTCAGAGTAGGAAAACATTACAGAAACCAGAAAATCGCTCTCCATGCGTCTTCTTTTTAGCTTGTTTTGTTTGTTTGTTTTTTAATGTTACAGACATCCAGTGCAATGCTGTGTGTACTCCACTAGCAAAATGTTTCCTCAGATGTGTGCATATATATGCACATTACTTATTTTTAACAAAGCTATATATAAGCATAGCTCAAATAAATTCTAAAAAGACATGGAGGCAATAAAGCCATACCAGAATTCCCATCCATTTGGAGCTATGTTGTAAGCGAGCTAAGAGTTGAGTAATCCATCCAACATATTACTGTTCTGCTGCTAATAAATAAAAGATCTGTGGAATGGGAGTGCTCATACTCGAGCTGCTTTAAACTTGACCATGTAAAAAGAAAAAAAGAGATAGAGAAAATGCCTATGGTTGGCGAAAGTACTCTAAAGGGGAAAAGAGGCTATCACACATCACTTCTGATTCTTAACCTAAATATAACGTCCCAGTGTCTTTTTTAACAATTGGCTGGTGCTTCCTGGATCATGCATTTTGGACATAAAATCTGAGACAGAATTCAACTTTCCACTACACACAAGCTTAGGTAAATCCAGCAATTAGTGGTTGTAATTTTCACCAAGTTACTGAAAAACTTTCTTTGCAGCTCCTTTCTTGCTGTCCCTAACTGCCAGCAAACCCCCAGTGAGAACTAATAGTAAATCCTAACTCGTGCTAAAGAGTGGTCTCTGTTAATGCCAGGTTTTGCTGTGCTTGTTTACATAACACCACTTGAATTCACAACGTCCAGCAATTCTTCTCTCAACTCTTATCAGTAGAATGCCTGCAAAACCCCACAGTACTAATTTTAATTTTAAAGAGGCATATTTCTGGAATGGAAAGGGTGACAATAATCAAACCAATAACACCAAGTGCTTTATGTTCAGGAAGCTGGCAAAAGCAAGTGCTGGAAAAAAAAAACAAGAACAAGTTGAGTAAGAACATTTTGCATAAATTCTGTTACCCACGTGATTGAGTACTGTACCTGAAAGTCTATGAGGTTTGAAATACACCAGATACAGGAGACATGGCTAGGGATACTATACTGCTGGATTCAGATCAATCATAATGAAGGAAATGAGTCAAACCTTTGTTGACTTTTCAGTATGTACAGCAGGACATCTTCTTTCACTTTCAGTCATACAAATCTACTGAAGGAAACCCTTGACCTTGGCTTTCCACATGCTGGAGCCATTGAAATGAAAAGGGAGGCCTGTGCAAGGAACACCTTTCTACACACAGTAGTACATAAATGCGTGTATCCTGGGGTGAGGTAGCTTGCAGAGGATGGCACACTATTGAAACATCAGTGTCAGAATTTTTACATCCTGTTTCACTGGAGTAATAGAAGAGAAAAAGCATTTCTTATGTTGTCTCCCACAGCCGAGAGGGACAACGTGGGAATGTGCACATGTGTTTTTCTGTTGATGTGATACCGATAACGTAGAAGTCTTGGATCTCATCAGCATGTTCTTAGGTGAGACCTTTCCTGATGCTTGAAGCTTCTGCTTTCCCTATTAGTCATACAGGCATGAGCTGAAAGTCTCAGCAGGACCTGTACTGCTAAGAAATGCGTCCTCAAGATTTCTTGATAGAAGAGTGCAGGAACAGAGTAGTCTAGTGGTCAGTGCCTGCTAGGAAGGAAGGGAAAGGGGAGTTTGCTGTCTGAAATAAGGACTAATCTTCAGAGCTGGGATTCAGCCTGATTTCATGAGGAGTGGATCCAAGCTACCTCCTATGTCACCGCACCCTCACTACAAAATTCCTAGTTTTGATTCTTGTATTTCCTGCATTATAGAGCATACATTCTCTGAAGAAAGGCCACTGTATATTTTTTCACTGGAATAGCTGGACTTTGTTGCCTCTAACACAGCTGTCACGTAAGGGACTTGAGCTCCAGCGTGTTCTCCATCTGGGTCGTGGTTGTGTTTTCTGTCCTTCCTACCTTGAGTAAGGCCAGGCATCAGAATGATCTGGAGGAACTCTTGGAGCTGCCATATTACACTAGAAGACACATTATCTCACTCATCTGATTGCATAAACAGGGCTACTGTGGCAATTCTGCTCAGTACAGGAAAGATACAGATGATACACAGTAGAAAAAGCAGAAGTGCTGCAGGACTGCTCTGCTGTACTGTCACCTCACAGTGTGGTGGCAGCAGTGCTTCCCACAGCTAACCATGGCTTGCTTGCACTTTCCTAAGGCTTCACTGCAAAAAATGCTTCTGGGAAATAACACTGACCCAGTAGCTCCTTCTTCAGGAATTTCCTTTTCCTGAGGTCGCTGTTACCCACTTTGCATCAACCAAAAAGGCCAGGGGGCAAGCAGGCAAACAACTGAGGTTGCTGTTCCTCTGTCGTACCACACAAGACTTCAGAACTTGGGTATTCCTGGCTGCAGGTTAGTGAGCTAGGTGTGAATGTACAAGAATGGGTCAGCTGGCTTTTCCTCCCAAGGCATAATGCCTTCTCATTTTATTTCTCCAGCTCTGTATCGATGTGGTATTTTCCAGCCCCAGGTGATCTTTGTCTAAATCACATGAAAAGTCTTTCTTCATTAACTCTGGAAATTACACAAGCAGAACTTCTGACGCTATGTCAGTGTTCTCCATGTAGCTCATAATTAATGAAGCTTAGCTCCCTTGGTACACAGTCATCCAGCAAAAAATGATGCAGACTGAGGCAACCAGCTTTCTGAAGGAAGTTCACATTTATATATGAAGTGCTCTGTAATCAGTGTGTTCACCACTTTCATTTAAGTTTATAGAATTTGAGTTCCCACGAGGTCTGGGTAGGAAAATGTTTGAAGGCACAAGTACCACATTTCGTCTTATTACATCTACAATAAAAAGTATCATTTTCTAAGGCACATGGTCTAATCAGGTTACCACACTTAGTACTGAATTAGCAAGGTAAGTTAAACTACTACAGTTTCTGTAGGTATATACATGCTGCAACCTGAGATAGAAGCAAAGAGTAAAACACACTGCAAAAGGGCACGTATGCTATTTAAATGTATTAAAAACAGACAACAAAGCCTCTCCTGAAACATGACAAGACTTAACTTTTTGTGCTTTTAAAAAGAGTAATTAGAAAAGAGAACAAAGCAGGCTGTTTTCAGAAGCATCAGAGCTGCTAGCAAAAACCTTTCTCCTCCTAAAACATAAGAGACAATGAGGGGAGAAAGGCAGAGGAGGGAGGGGAAGATGAACTAGACAGGATGATACAAGGTATTCTAGTAAAGAACATAACATGTCAGCAGATATCTTGGGCTCACTTGTGGAAAGTGTGATCGCATTTTTGGCAATGCAAGTTCCAGCTACCACAGGCTGCGGATGCCTGGAAAAGGGAAGGCAGTGTTGAAAAGGTTTTGTTTGGGGCTCATTTGCTGCACCAGGTAGGGACTGTGCTGGTTTGCTTCAAAAGAGGATGGGGAAACCACCATCCCCAGAGTATTTTTTTTTTTTTTTTTAAAAAAAAGAGAAGTTCCTTACATCCTCATTGTCACTGTCCAGACTGCCCTTCTTCTTTTTCTTCTTCTTCTCATCCTCTTTCTTTTTCTTATCCTTTTCTGGAATGACGTCATCAAGAAAACTTAAGTCATGCTGGGAGAAGAGGTAGTCCATGGCTTTTCTGACTGCTACAAGTGCCAAGATCTGAAAAGGCAGGGAGAGACTTTTCACTTGGACACATTTTTGACTGGAAACATTCTGTGCATACCTGTTCATGCTACTTTTTAATTCCTAACACTTGAATTTTGGTTGTAACAGAACATATAGAGAACAAGGTTATTGAGATACTTCAGTTGTTCACCTTGAAAATCTAACGAATGGAACTGGCTCAGGCCTCAAGCAGCAGTATTTCATATCAGATTAAACAGAAGCAACATACAGGAACAGTAATGTAATCACTTACTGCTTTTGTAAAGGCAGAAGTCAGCTTTAATCTCCTGCTGACAAGTATCAGACAAAATAATTAACTAGAGAGGCCCAACATGAGTATTTTCATCAATTTGAGGGATTCAGCTTACATATGCATGTTCACAAGGGCATCCTGAGTAATTTTCTTTACTTTTTTTTTTTCCTCTCACCATTTCTCCAGATAGAACAATTCTTTAAAAATTATACAGCAGTGTAGGTGTGCTTTCAGTTTTACAGTATTAAAGTTGCTAGGATAGTGTTTGCAAGAAACTGAAGGAAAAGCTTTTTTCTGGGTAAGACTGCACTCTAAAGCACTGGGGAAAAAAGTAAGGGACATGTCTGAAATGGGTGTCTACATCTATGCTGAAATTTAGCATCACCAACAGATGCATACCAAGATTACATGTACACTCTACTAAAGGGTGCAATGCAGAATGAAAGCTCAACTTGGTTATAAAAAGATGTCATCCATTCCTAGCAACAGGAGACAGATTTTAAGACAGAACAGTGTGCTCCAACTGATGAAGATCAATGGCAGAAATTATCCCTCAAAATGGATCTCAAACTTTGACTATAATTTAAGTGGGGTTCAGAAGTGAAGAATTACTCAGGGAGTGGAAAGATGCCATGGAAGCACCCATCATTATTTCACTATAAATTCCCTCTTTATTAAAAGTACTTTCTCTACAAATAAGCAGGGGGCTGGCTGTTGGTTAGGTCTTCACAGTCAGGTTGTAAGCTAATAGTCTTCCTGTTCTCAAGTGTAAAAACTGAGGTTTTATCATTAGATCCAGTCACATCTGTAAGTATAACAAACTTCAGCAAACGTGAAGATTCTCTTATGGACAAAGAGGAAACCTTCAGATCTTAAATTCAGCATTCAACAATACGATACAGCCATGAGAATGCAATGGAAAATGAGCATGCCACTGGAAACTGCTTTTAATATCTTTATATATTTGTATACGTCCTAGCAAAAATATTTGTATGTTTTACTTTTTTCACTTGAATCAGCCTTTCTCATTTCACTAGCATCAGAGAATAAATGCCTTTGTTTTGTTTCCTGCTTTCCTTCATTTTGCTTTCTTAAATAAGCACTGGAGTTTTGTAACTGCACCCACAACTGAGATTTTACTCATTAATAAACCTAAAACTAGGGGAGATTGGGCCAATATGTAATAAGCAAGTTTCATACAGCGTTGACTTTACAGCATTCTGATCCATTTCCAAGAGAGACAGTCTCTTGGCATGCTGCTGTGGCCACACTGGATCCATTTGTCTGTAAAATTACATAAAATTACTACATTAGCTGAGTCACAGGAGGGGTATGGAGGCAGAGAAGGGTCTGCTCTGTGCTCCCATACTACATACATAAACTACTCCAGTGATCAATGTAAATGGCTGCATGTTTTGGAACTTGGCCTGGTTTGGAGCCTCGTGCCAACTGTATGTGCTAATTCCCGTTACCACTTGTTTATTTCTTATTTGACATGTGCACCTAACTGTGTCTCTAGGAGTAGTAATCATCTAATTGCACAGATAGCTGTTTCACTGTTCCCCTTCCTTGATGTAGAAATACCGTATCAGACTGACTGCACAGTGTGTCTTTATGAAATAATTGTGTGATGAATTATTTATAATTCAGGATCCAAAAAATGTTTTTAACATGATTCTGACACGCATCGTTAGAAAGATAACGTGCATCCTATAGATACTTTTAGCAGTCTCAGATGTGAAACGTGAATCAACATCCTTGCCCTTTTACTCAGTTTCCAAGAAAAAAAGAATCCCTTCCTCACTCTTGATTATGCGAATCCTTCTCTCCACTTGGCGTTTCTCTGAGCAGTGAGATCAGCCTTACCATTTCATTTGCCTTTCTCAATTTGTGTTACTGAAAAGTATGGGAGACGTTTTCTGTACAGTACTTAGTGTGGACTGAAATAGGAAAACTCTGCACTCATTCATTCATGCAGGTCAAGGAGACAACACAGCAAATCTAACCTTGGCAAAACTAACTGCACCTATCTGGCAAAAAATTAACTTTTGAAGCTTGCTTTCCCCTCCAGAGCATTTATGTAAAGGCAGCCACAGCACCTGAGAGAATGTGGAGAACATTCACCCTGTGTAATCTTACATCAGCACAATGAATGGAGCTCTAAGTGGAGTTCTAAGGTAGGGCTTTTACAGTGAGAGGATTTGATTTGCATGGTTTGTGGGAGAGTATGCCCATGTGTGGAAGGCCCAGGCTAGGGAACAGAGGTGTGACTGGAAAAGGCAAAGCAGAATATCACCTACCATGACAGGGAATATGATAGCAGCCACAGTTGACTTGAGAATCCAGAGTAGGGCTAAGCAAACCACCTGCAGAAACGTGAACAGATGGACTCTGCGCAGCGGGACGTGACGCAGATAGATAAAATCAGGCTGGTGCTTTAGAGGCATCAAGAGCAGCTTCAGACGATCCATGAACTGGATGGAAAATGGAAAAGCAACATACATATAAATGAAACACAGGATAAACAAGGAAGTGAGACAATTGCATAAATAAACTATTGAGATCTTGAATCAACTTGCTTTCCTTCCATACACATAGCACAGCATAGAAGGCAGCATGGTTCCTCTGTATTGAGCAGTTATTGCTGAATGCAGTGGGCAATTGAAGTTAAGCTGAAGTTAAGCTCACATTTGGCACCTACACAGAAATAGAAATGAAGCATTTCTCAAAGCAAGGCCTTAAGGTGCTTTTATTTTAGGGAGCAAGACTCCATGTAATCTGATGATTAATATTTAAACGAAAAACTTAGGTGTCAGTGGAAATAGCTCTGCTGGCTTCAAAAGAACTAGACTGATCTGCTGTAGCTGGAGACAGAGGAAATTTTCTGTTGAATGTCCTGACTACGGTCAGCATTAATGCTTGGGTTACTTCTTTTAACTTCCCTGTTCCTGCCAGGAATGCTATAAAGACATCTGGTATTTAAAAGTAGTGCCTTTGTCAAATTAACTGCAAGCAGAGGTGAGCAGAGGTGAGGGCAGACATCATGTTAACAGAGAATAGAATGCACCCAACTGAAGAAGATGGGCAGCTTTTCAGACAGTGTCCCTTGCCCATGCTGGACTGGTGGACTTGGAGTTAAACCAAAATGGAGAGTTCTCACTAAGTGAAAAACATCCTTGATCGGGGAAAATAAGTAAGCACACAGTTCAGTGACCACCTGTGCCAGAAAGCAGGGGAAATCCCCTCCAGGAGAACCAGCCCAAGGGCGAATATTACAATCCCCCCATTGTCTCTTACCAGAACTTGGGCATGTTGCCCATTTCTGAGACCAGATTTATCTCAAACCAGTGAATGAAAGCCTGGGCCATTTTAAAGAATACCCAAATAAACTCTCATGGTACTCACAGAACACAGAGTCTTTCCCCATTAGAGCACAACTAAACACTAGAAAGAAAGGCTACAATTAATAGGGTGCCAGAAAGCAACAAAACCACTTCCAGCTTCCTAGCGCCAATTAAAGATAGTGCACTGTGAGAAAGGCTCCTTACGTAATATTTCCCCAGTGACAAAGAAACGGGGCTTGGCTTCCCTTCCATAGCAAACAGCAATGTTCCCACTTGTTAACATTGCGGAATAATGCCACCATCATAAATCATGTTCTCTTGTTTTTCTTCACTCTGTAACAGATACCCCAGTAAAGGACCCAAACTATCTCAGAAGTGAGCCTAGAGCCTTTGTAAGCACACCCTGTCCTCTGTATGCATATTGGGGGTGAAGAAGGATCCCGGGTCTTCACATAGGCCCCCATCATTGCTTATGGGGCCAAGAGTTGGCTGCTCTCCTGCTGAGCAAATTTCTTTCCTTTAGTGTCATTCTCAAGAACAGCCAGTGTGTGGCAATATTTGTAAATAGTTCCTGCCCTGCTTGGGTTTCTTTGGAAACAAATGAGGTGACGGAGGAGAAGAGGAAGGCCAGAAAGTCCTAAGAGAAGCCTTGTAATAATTAATGATTACCATCTTCTGGGCAAGGTCCTGTGGCAAGTCTGCTCACAGATGCCAGAGCAGCCTTGGGCGCTGCGGAAGCTTACCTGCACGCCATTGAGGGACGCAACACCCATGTACAGGAAGACACCATAGAGCACAGGCATAGGAATGAACTGCAGGGGAAAAGAGCAGGAGAAACAAAGTTAGTCGCCTCCATATGTGACACAATGTTAGTGCTCAGGAAGGCATAATCCCTGACTCATGACAGATCTGAACTGTACTTTTGAATGGGTAATGTACAGTAACAGGCACAATCTTTCTGCTGTATTTTGAGAGTAGAAAGAACATCTGGATAGCAGGGCAGAGGCTGAGTGAGCCCTGTTCTCTTCCATTTCAGTGCAACTTGGAAGTCTCCCCAAGAAACAAAAGAAACAAGGACAGATAGTGCCACAGTTAGCCATCAAATTTAAGAAGAGGTGGGATAAAACATTGCAGTAAATTCCAAACTACTTTTCACCTCATAGTTTCTAATGAGACTGAAAGCAGAAGGTAGAAAAACAGAGGAAGAA